CGGGTAATGTCATGTTGAAGTCCCAAGGGCAAACCGCATGACCTTCGTAACGTTCAATGGTCTTCTGCGAGATGACCGGTCGTTTAGATTGCGAAGTCAGGCCTTACATCACTGAGGGAAGTCACCATTTGAGGATTTGTCCATTGATACGGCCGCCAACTTCCCAATCGGCTACATGCACCTACTGTGCCTTGGTGTCATGCCGAAGTTGCTACGGCAACGATCGGGTTAAAGACCAGCCAGAGGTGCCTGTCTTACGGGAAAGGTGGTAATACGGGTCTATGTATGCATAGAGGGATGGCAAAATATATATAGATAATTGGTAAATTTGTTTTTCGGGTGAGAGGTTTTAATGCATTGACTCATAGAAACCGAAATCAAGAAGGACAATTAAAAAATAAACATCAAATGTCTACAACGATCGCTTCCGAACTTTATGAGCTGAGTTCATTGTAGATAATGGACCAGACCGTCCGCAACAGACGACCCAACGTGGTACAATGAAACAACAAACCGACTAAAACCCACTTAAATAAGTAAAGCAGGTATTCTTTGTATGCCGCAGATGTTTGAGAGCCTTCCCCCCATAAGTACCGTTGCTAAATCTGTGGCGACTCGGAGCCAATAAGTCCGTCCCACGAATGCTGCGATAAGACTGTGCAGTCGGTCCCTGATTGTGGGATTTCCCCGTAAGTGCAGCTGCCTTGATTGCCTGCAGTATTTGAAGGCTTCCAAATATCGACAATTTTTGCATTACATTGAACCCGTAGTGTTGTCCACTGTTTCCCTCAAGGGAAACGTTCCGAAAGCTGGGATTCTTATGAATGATAGTGATTCAGTATGAAGTGGGAAAATAGGACTGTTTTTGGATCTAATGTCTTCTTTTCTGAAAAGTCAATTTCAGCAAGCGCAGTTGTCGGAATTTCCACTCGATGTGTACTAGACTGCCGTGTTCTGGAGAGCAGACATACGCGTACACAAGGTCTTATCTGATTGTTGTTCATTTATCTCTTAACTGACGGCTTGGTGGCATACAACGGAGCCGGCATGCGAAACGGAACGCAAGCACTCCGCCTTCAAAACTGGCCAGATAGTCGAGAGCCCATGAGAAAACCGGACATATGTTTATGAGTCAGTCACAGAGGGCAAGGATCAATGATTTGGACCTTTTCAATCATGGTTTCTCGCCGAACGATAGGCAGCCCAGTCTTCTTTGCTTCTGCCACCAATAAATGTCCCATACTGAACGAAGTATTGCTGTCCGTATAACAATAAGGCAACAAGGAGGTTTACTTTACTAACTTCGTTGCCTAAAGTGAGTTCAAAACGTGGTGGAGACTCGGCTGATTGAAAATCGTCATGTTAGAGCAAATACCCCCTGAAATTCTGCCTTTACTTGACAACCCACTTATCGATTTCAGTAGCTAAAGAAACCTCCTTTAATGTCGAAAGTAGTTTTGTTCATGGTGCGTAAGAGGTAACCGAAAAGCAAAAGCAATACGAGGACTACTGTATATACTAAGGATTATTGACCGCAGTTAGCAGTTCGAGGGCGTTTACTGTTTTTCAAGAAAGGACTTAGAATCTAAAAAAACCAACATTCCTACACCGAAACGAATAATATTGTAGCAGCCGCTCCAGTCCTTCTTTTCCCCGGCTCCGTTTTGTCGGCCGATGGCCGCGACAATCGTTGCCAGGCTGCGGACACAGGACCACCCCCGCCGGCTAGAACTGGGGCCCCTCCTGTCCAGCTGCAGTGACCCCCGGCTGCCCCCAAAAAGTATTATCACCTCATGCGCATCGGACGACCTGGCTTGATACCCGTCAACCCCTGTAACTATGCTTCCCGCTAATCCTCCCCTAATCCGTCCAATCTCATCACCAGCACTCAACCAGTCACCCCCACGTACTGACACAGACTTGCACCCCCGCGTAAACGACACACTGCGACCGACGCTCTCCGTGAACGGACGCTTATCTCTGTTGCACGCAAACAGCCAAGTTACGGCAACCTGCCCTGTGTACAGAATTAACTAGTCCTCACAGCTCCCCGACTTCTGTCATTAGACGAAAAGAAATTATTGTGCGTGGTTTAAGTTTATCTCACATCTGTGACCGCCACAGTATTAACTGAATCCTTTACCAAGCCAAAAAGACCTCAAACCACGGGGGAAGTTGAGAGCGCCCACATGCAGCCACGAATATGCAAAATGTAAGGTATGTGGTTCTAGACGCTGAGTTCGAACGACCGAACGTCCGTCTAAGACGTCGCCTGTTCTAGAGTTACCATGAAAAAATTGTCTAGGCACTTTTGCAGGTGAAAGTGGGCAGGAATTTAGAAAGTTGCAAGAAATTAAATTGCCTCTAAGTTAATATTTACTTCGGAGTGGTGGTAGACCGGTGAATGTCATAAGTGTAGCCTGTAAAGGGGAACTGAACCAAGTGCATACACATATGGTTGTGCTTTTTTTTCTAAAGATAAGAAGCACCTTGTTTGGACGAATTATTGGACAAATATATCATAACATTACGCTTATTGAACTTTACCTTCTGTTGGATGAATAATAAATTAGCATAAATTTGGCGAATTTCGGAAGTTGTCAAGGACAAAGTACGGGAACTAGGACATATTGAAATATTAATTGATTTTATTGTACCGCGCAAATAAAAAACGTGTGTCTTATGAATCAATAAATGAATTACTCTTGACCCATTACAACTGGTTTTTATCTAATTCTAAGGATTCGTTACTTGCGGCTACAATCGCATAGCCTAAATGGGTGCGTTAATACCAGATGATTGTAATATTAAACAAATGTTTCCTCTGAAGGTCTCTGGCGTACCTAACAAATAATCAAATCGATTATCTAGTTTATATTACCATAGTCGTTTCTTCTTCACGGTCGCTTCGGTTGACATTGTACTATCGTGTTTCTTCGTAAAACAGAATAAAATTTGCTTAGAATTTGCGATATTTCTGTCTGCTGGATTTCCATTTCATATTGGCCCAAAAGTCTGTAGCCAACGGACGCGCTCGTATATGGGCGCGCAGTCAGTATGAAAAACAATTTTGTGCGAGGCAGATGGACAAGTTATGACCGTTCCTCCCTGTAACCGGAGCTTTGAAACAAAAGTATGAAACCATAACGGAGGATGATACAGAAATATTGATCTTCAACAAAGAATTTCATCCTGATGTGAAAGAGTAACAAAGGGACATTTTTAAAATAGGGGAAATTTCAGAGAGAAGATCACGGCATTTTTGAGCACAACGTTCTTGCAGAACCACATTCACTGCCGTGAGATGTATAAGTTCCAGTTATGTTTGCGAGTTGTAGAATTCGTTATAAACAGTTTACCACATAGATACTAGGATATGCAAAGTTCCGCATTAATTGAATTGCATCTCTCATGCGGAAGAATGGTTGAGAATAACAGAAACAATCGAACAAAAATAGTTAATTTTTCTTAAAATGGCTCACGCGCAATTGCCACAATTTAAACGAAATGTATTCATTAAAAATTTCAATGTGCGTAATGGCATAGTTCAGGCTGGTTTACTTTATTGGAAAAATTCAAATGACGTCAAATTTTTCGCTTTAAGAAAATTCGTACTAGAACTCGTAGTCCGGTCTTGAATAATAATCGGAGGCTCGGATGCAACTGTCCAAATTACACGAGCATGCTTATTATGCCTTCCAGATGGTTTCTTTTTATAAGAAACACACACTACTAATTTCTATCAAACAGCACAAAATCACTTAAAATAGACATTTGACGGCGTTTTCTTGTGACAGAGCGGTAATAAGCACTTTCTGTTTGTTTAGGGATCGAAGGTTCAGAGTCCATGCAGGCGTTTGTGTGGCGACTGTAATGGAACATTTACGGCAAAAATTACAGGAATTCATGGATGACCCTTACTGGTATATTGTACCAGACTTCACGCTGGTGATCTCGACACGATTCGACTGATCATCGGGCAACGCCCTCTTTTTGTCGATTACGATCGCAATATTTAGGCACCCCCAAGCTGTCCTGGTTTCAGGGGAAATGAGTATTTAAACCCTTTTTGAAGCTTAGAATTCAAACCTCCGGCTTGCAGTATAGAGCTGATGCCTTAGTGACTGTTAAAGACAAAAATGTCAGAATTCGCTATTTCAGTATCCCTATCCGTGATAGTATAATGGTTAACTTTCAACCAAAGTAACTGCTCTTTGTTGACTGTTGTAAAAGAGGAACTAGTTTCGATAAAAAAACATAGAGCATACATATTCCGGGACTAGCTCTAATCCATTCACTTGTCGGAAATGTTTTATTTTTTAGTTAATGTGTCAGGAAAATATGAAGTCAGGTTACGACTGACAAGTAGGATAGAAATTAGAAAAAGCATTATCCATGAGTTATTTAAATTTTTGCCCCTACTGAGCTGTAAATTAAAAATAACGTCCAGTCAACTTGCACTAGAACGACCAAACAAGACTTTTGAGTAGACAGAGGTCCGATTAGCGCAAGAAACGCAGTGCAAAAAGCGGGCATTTTATTGGTCGCTCGCGTAGCTGAGGATATGGCGTTTGTTTAACTTCAAAAGAATACCGCATGTGTGCTGGCACGCATGCAGACATATTCGAAGCAGGACAGGGTACAACACGCACCCACACACGTCTGTGCGTCATCAGCACAAATGTGTATAAATTCAGAGCACTGATCTCCCTACTTCAGATCCAGGCAACCAAATTTTGGTCGGTTTACATTCTTGACCATTTGGGCGCGCAGTGAGCGCCCTTTTGCGAGTGTGTGCGTTCTGTTCGGAAAACCACAATTGACCTATTAAAAGCCGCGTCCTCCGGACACTAATTCACACCTCTGTTCGTCCATGCGTCCACGCACAGCCTCCCTGGTGCGCTTCACGTAAACACCCCAACTGAAGTCCAGATCCCCAGCCTTGCTACCTCCCCCCCCCGTGTGTGTGACCCATTGTCCGACATTTGCTTCTGTTACATTCACTCGACCAACTTCAAGAGATGCAGCCCGCGCAGGTTGATCACGCTGGCTGCTGAGAGCTGGTTTAGTAAAGATTGCGACCGGATTTCCCATTGGTGGCGCTGATACTGAAAGCTTGAGGAAACAGAAAGCCTCAGATCAGCCTTTTGCCGCAGTTGATGCTTCTCCTGACACATCCAATGCTCCCTAGGAGAGAAAAAGCAGCAGCAGCAGCAGTCATAGTGATATTCATGTCAATGTTTCGTGCACTATTTGGGCAACCTGGAAGGCCCGGTGTACACAGAGCTTGGCTAGCCAGGATTGGAGAACAGTTAATCGAAAGCGGTGGATTGTTAGCTGATACATTTGATGGCGTGGAATTCGGAGTGGCAATTGGACAGTCATCAAGTACAGTAAGGTACGTGCAAGAAGCAGATTTTTTTTGCGAAAAAATATAAAAGCGGCAGTGCATACGCTTATGGCCCTTCTGTGCAACTTTTACAAGCACGTGGTAAATTTTGTTAGCAAGGTCCGGACTAAGGAAACCTTAAAATTCTGCCCAAAACTCATGATTTCTCGAGTTGTTGGTACTAGAAAAATTCATTCGGCCGTTTTTTATTAACTGGTCTCACATACGTGCATGGCAGACGATAACATTAACATGGGAAATAGGATTAAGCAGGGAGCAAAGCAGAATAATCTTGGGCCGACTTTCCGGAAACGTGAACTATTATCTCCAAGTTGCTACCGTCAAGACGAAGTATGGGACTGCGAAGTGACAACAGGAGGAGGATTCTTGTTTAAAATATTTGTAATGGTTGACAGGTGTTCATTTAACGCAGGGAAACAAATCTACTTATGTGTCTTTAGACGCTGGAGATGGCCCATGGGCCTAGTGGGCACTGGAGTACGTGATTTATAGTCTTTTACAGCAAACACCCCACGATCACGAGCAGAGAGCATCCAACGGTCTCCGCCACTGCATACATACATGCTGCTCGAATAATCTGGGTCATATTTAACAGAAAAATGCAAAATATAACAACGGACCGGTTTACCGGTAAGAAGAATATGGGAGCATGAAAAGACATGCATCAAAGGCATGAAGATTTCACCTTTTAGTTGACGGAAGGGACCAGATCATCATTGTTTTTGGACAGTGCTTTTTAGATGAATCTAAGAAGTTACTGTACGTACTGTCCCATTACCCTTTTACTGCCCTTTTTGTGCCTGCCATCTGAATGCCTTAAACATTTCCACGCTTAAACTGGAAGAATAACATCTTAGCTCAGAAATCCAGCCCATAAATTTGTAAAAGTTAGACAAATATACGACAATCTGCTTCACTATAGAAAGCATAATTTTCTGGAATTTTTTTTTACGAAGGCTGTATCGTTCAGGTTGCCTCGTAGGAATTGTGTTTTAGACTTTTAAAAAATTCTAGGGCATAAGAAATAGGACAGGACTACAGATTTAAATATCAGCCTTGAAGTATGGGTAATACAAGGGAATAGGGATCTCTTTATAAAAAAATTTCAGGAAACGAACCTGTCTCTTAGCCCTGATCCTAACACCTGCTCTATCGTAAATATCAGCCCTAGTTCTCCTTGAATTTGACGGGAGAGATATGGAGTGTTTTAGTTCGGCATCCAACCAATGCGTGTTGAATCAACAAGAGCTTAATAAAAACAACGTTCGTCATTCGAAGACAATACTTGTGATCAGCAAATCAAACGCGGTATCAAGCGCGCAGTTTCAGCACTAGATATAAATTGACACTTATTTCACACTTCAGCCAATAATAGATTCTTCCCATGTCCCTAAAACACTCGGCATTTGTATTGCATTAGACCAATTCATTTAAGTAATCCACATGAAATTTTAAATGCAGTAAATTATATCAATTATTTCCTCATTATCTTTACTAAATTTTCCTAAAATTTTAGATGATATACATGCCAGGTCACAGAGCGTAGCACAATTGAGCATGTATACTGGACGTGAAGCGTGAAATAAAATTTACGTCGGTTCTCAAAGGCTGACAAAAATATTGAGGACATATAGGCATACGAAGTAAACTCTGTGTTCTGTGCGATTGCGCTGAAGGTTTTCGGATGATCAGTGACTCGGTTGCATTCTTTAATGCTCTCTTGAGTATAAATGCCTATTTAAACATTCGTTTAAAATAAAATCGAAGCAAAACTTGAAAAACTAATCTTTACTTAAGATGAATTTGCTAGGAGTATATTAAACCACAGACTGTCTAATAATCTGAAAAAATGCTATGAGTCCTTTATTTTACGAGAGAAGATTAAAAATCAGCTAAGATCTAACACCTTGTTTAGCCATCGTAAAATAAATCTCCAAAATCTCTATTATACTTTAAAACAGACAGGAACATTTTCTTTTTAACTGAAAGTTCAATTTTTGCTGCGTACAATTCTGGAGAATATGATTTAAAATTTTAACTACTGTTTTTTAAAGTGCAAAATGCACATGCATCGAAGTTTCCCCGTGGATCTAAGTCCGGATTACGTATGCAAAACAAAAAGCTGGTTCAAAGAGCAGGGTATAACGCAAACAAGAACCGCTCTGGATAAACAACGCCACATAAAAGTGCAGGCCCCTTGGCCTGCCGTGTAAAGTCCTTGTAAATCATTATCCGTTATTTTATTTTGATCGCACGAAAAATGGCCTTTATCGTAATGTACATTTAATCATTTACTTCCCCCGAATCTTTTTGTGTTAACATTCCATTGAATAAGGCGTATCACCATATATTGGGCGCAAGGGCTTAAACAGTGGATAAAATAAGAGGATTTTGAAGGGTTCACGCGTTTTCGAAGTATGGAGTAACACCCAGGTACGTATACTAGTGCCATGCGCTTCAGTATTTCGTTTTGAAAGTGCTACAGTCAAATCGCTAAGCCGAATGGCGATTGTATTCTGACTGCGTCCATGTGCCTTAGATAATAACATTAATACTCCTATCGTTCTTAATTGGCTTGTCGCTATTTTAACAGATGACTGTTCCGGACATTGGAAATCCCGCAGCCTAATGCGGCAAAAAATAAAGTCTGTTCAGATAACCACCAGTAGACACTCGCCAATTGGACAAAAACTGCACACTTACGTCGTTCGCTGGTCAGAGACATAAAAAATGCCTTCCTCATCCGTCCAGTTTTCATGAAAGCCTTTGTTTGGTGCCGCAAAACTCGACTTAATCCGACTACGACTAGAAACAGAAAACAAAAACAACTGACAACCTCTGCCCGCAAGGGACGGTAAAGCGTGCCTGTTAGGCGGTTATAGTTTAGGCCAATTAAAGTGAATAGCTTATAGGCACGTTGCACGAAGGAAGGCAAAGAGGGCCCTTGCTGGCATTAATTTATTACAATTTTTAGGCTAGGTTTTTTAAATCAATTTTCTTAAACAAAGTGTTAAAACTGCCCTTTGCGACTGAGACTTTGAAAAAAACCAAAGTTTGAAAAGGCGGTTAACTTGTCAGCACTTTTAATTCATTGTTCTTATGGACTTAGTCAATTATTCGTTCCTTGTATAAATTTCACAGATGATTTTAACAAAACGCCAGTAAGTAGGCCAGTCGTTTGGCAGAATTTTCACACAAAGCCTTATTTGCTTTGTTTATCTTCCGGGGAAATGGATTCATGAATTTGGATAAAATGTTTTTCGCAGCAGACCTTTTTATGCGTGATCCGAAAGTTAATATGAATATCTGGGCTGAAATCCATCAGCTACTTCGGAATGAGCGCGTACTAGAAAACACATGGGAAGGGCTGGGTGAACCACATGCGGCTGCGTTAGATAATGATACTAGACCGGCGAAGCATGCGAGTCTGGGCTTTCAGCTGGTACCCGCGTTGCCGGTATGGTAAATAACTACACAAAGCCGTCTTTAGGTAATAAATCGTAGCGAATATAAGGGTTGTAAATGCATTTCAAGTTCTATTTTATGCTGTTTCATGCTGGCTCCAGTGTAACCAATGATTATGCGCGGTAAGGAATTTGCGGCAATAATATATTTGCAATTCCTGAATGTAGGAAAGTGAGCGAGTGTTGATGTCAAAAGCCCTTTTAGTGGATGAAGCTTAATCTTTTGATTATGCTGTTTACTGAACATCATATTCTCAGCGTCATGCCATGACCTGAGGTACAATGGAGGCACTCACTTCACTTTATATTTTATAAAGCGTAATGCGTGGCGAATGGAAAATTTCGAACCGAACTGATTTTTTAAATTTTCAAATAAATAATGTCTGCTCGCGACGTCTGACGTTCATGGGTTTTTCTGATGGCAGTTATGTTTAGACCAGAACGGGCGCTGCTTACTGCAGCATAGTGTTTTCGACACAGTTCTCAGCGTCCAGATATCTAAAACGGTAATTTATAGACAGAAATTCGGTGGAAGCCTTCTGTCCACCGTACTGTCACAAACTTGTTAAATGATGGAAAAGGTAAAGTAATGTGATTATAGAAGTTAAGTTCCTTTTTCCTAGTTGGGCTGTTTTCATTGAGGTTTGTCGCATTTACTAGACGACGCACATGAGCCCTTGATAACCAGTTGCACATGCGGCGTAAACCATTGTCAACGACGGGCGCATGCACAGATTTAATAGTCGAAAGTAATGGGCGTGTCAACAATAGGTTTGTGTGAGTACACAGTTAATGGTTCCATGCTGACGTTTTCGGCGATTTGGGTGTACAGCTGAATGAAAACCGGTATGCTTGCATCTCGTCCGCAACAGACTGATTCACGTATTACGGCGAAAACGGCAAATATGAGCATATGCCAACAGCTAAAAGTTACTGCCTGGGCGGGTTTGAAATGAAATTTAATTCATTTGGATCGACGTTTGTGATATCTACAGCGAAATGTTGCAACTTTTGAGCCTGCGATGTCGCTGTTCCAACACTCCTCAAACTGCCATTCTTATATGGTTGTTTTCAGTCTATTCTAATAAAAAAGACAGTAAGATACATTGTTCCATTTTGTAAAATATGAAGACCTTATTAATGTATGCTACTTTTCAAAAGTGCAACACCAGTCTTCGTAAAAGAAGTAAAGAAAAGTGCAGGAAGCGTTTGCACCTGCGTCGCAGAATAAAAAGGCATACCATGTTCTTTGAGACTATGTTGTAGAGGTCAAAAACATCTCTACTGTATCATCACGTCAGTAGTAATATAGCGCAGTAACGTTAAAACACCAGTGTTGCCAAAGGCGCAAGACCTAACTATAAACCGTATCATCAATATCAAATTTCAACGGTTATCCTAAATGCATGGTTATAGCTGGCAAGTAGATCCTAAGCACGTTCTTAGTGTGAAAGTGAGGAAGGCAGTTTGATTTTTGGCAGATTAGATTAAGGAGGACTATTAAAACTGTAGGGGGGTTTGTCGCAAACCTCTTCGCAAGTATGCGGAAAAACTTATCTAAGGAAACAAAAAGACTCATGACTGATGTTGTATTCAACGTTGTTAACTGTGCATCAAGTTCTGATGAGTGCTCAAGTCTCAGGCTCTAATTACATCAAACAAAGTGTACCGGGCAACCTTCGTCCAATTCGTTGTCTTTTTGGAAGCTATTGCTAAACCCCTGGTAAATTATGCCAAAACTGGATAAGACTTTTTATGCCCATTAAGAGGTTAAACAGTCTACTTCAGATCAGCAGTCTCCTCCGGAGATGAACAGTTTATAGCATTGGCAAATTCGTCTAAAAACGTTTCTTTAAGTTAGAGCCCTATATGCATACTATGTGCTTAAATGTATATCAAGCGAATAATTTCGGAAATTATTCATTGCAGGATATGAAGATAAGTCTCGGAAGCATGACTTTATTACAGTCAGACCCGAAATCCAAGTGAACACTTGAGTCGAGACTGTCAACTACTATGGAAGAACCACGTAATGTTCATTGTACAAACACTTAGTACTACGAGTACTATAAAATGTATATGGGCTATTTCATATAGATATAACGGTAGAGGGGCGCTTACCGATCGTTTCTTCGGAACTAACTCGTTTCGTTGTGTCTTACGGGCTCTCTCTCTCGAGCCTAATCAGCAACCGCACAGCGGCGCATGATATAAGTGGAACGCTATTACCGACAAAGACAAGGGAGCCTGGAATGACCATTTCCGGCTTATTAGTCATCGTCAGCCAGCCATAACCAAACCCCGAAGTGTGGAACACTTGGAGTCCGAACTTACGACCTGTTAGATAGAAGTCCAAAACGTCTAATTACTGAGCCGCGGGCTTGTTGTCTTGTCGGTTATCTTGTCATGCACCGCTGTACAACTGCTAGTGGGGCTCGAGGGAGATTCCGTAAGACAAAACGGGACGAGTGATTTCCGTAGAAACGATCGGTGGGCGCCCCTCCACCATTGTGTATTTCCGATCGAAACCGAAAGGGGAGCGGGCTCGTGGCCCAGTGGTTAGAGTCGTAGACGCCTAACTAACAGGTCGCGAGTTCTAGCCTCGGGGGTTCCACACTTTGGGGTTGGGTATAACTGACTGACGACGGCTAATAAGCCAGAAATGGCCATTCCAGTGCCCTTTTCTTTGTCGGTAATACCATTCTACAAATATGTATGTATACTCTATACATTATTTAATAAGTGAGGAAAAAGGGCCGAGCACCGGAACACTTCGTTTACTCTCTTACCTTTCAGACTCGTGTAGTAGCAGCAACAGAACGAGCGACAGTTAAAAGGGCATATAGGCCAATCACTGACCGACGGCACAAGACTGGAGGTGACCAAGAAGGACTCTATACGCCGGCGCCAGATCGATAAATCGATTGACCGAGTTATCATCCGTGGCCCGGGCTTCAATCAATTCTCGGTTTCTTTGTTTCCGGCATGGGCGACTATTTTGGTGGCTGGGAAGTTTAACTCGTGACACATTTCGTAGATGTGGGCGGTCACTTGTTATAATGCATCGCCTAGTCGCACAGTCAGCATATGTTCGTGTATGCGTGATCCAAGCATGCGTCCAGTCTGGCCTGTGTAGTTACAAGGATAATTTTGACACGGAATGATATACCCCACTCCAGATTGCTCTTCAGGCTCTAACCGGTCTTTCATTTTTATTCCATTTTTATTGCTAAATGCGGAGCGAAGGCGCCCCACTGATGATTCGTCACTGCAGTGGGCAAATGCCAGCAAAACAGGTGCCTGGGATTTAGGCTAGCACCTCTGTTGTCGTAATGGTAGACATCATAAACCATGTGTATGCTTCCGTTTACTTGTTGTCTCTTGCTGCATAATGCGCGGTCATCCCACCGAGGCTGGGGGATTTCAGCTGAGTAGCTATATCAGCTTTCAGATGAATTCTTGGGCAACGTTCACCTAAGAATACACCCCAACTTTGCAAATTAATATCTGAGAAACTCCAAAACCTCAATCTTGTATTCTTTTTGTGCATATTTTGAACAATACAACCGTCAGTTTCATGAGTATTCGGTTTCACTGTGGTTAACATTCATATCGGTGTAACTGGGCTCAACCATTCACTTTTTCGTATAATCAGCTATTTATGGCTCAAATAAAGATGACTCATTTTTTCATTTTATTTGGAAAACTTGCGTACATCAAACGTGCACTGAATTTAATTCCAAAGCGCAATTACTAGAGTCAGATAATCATTTGATTAAAGAGGTATCTCGAGTTTTTTCTGCATCTGAACAGACCTGGTGGGTATCGCTGCGAACACAGTGGAAAATAAAGTATACGTAAGGATGTTTTTCAAACTTCTTGCATTGTAACCCAGATACCCTATGGTGAAATTATACAGAATGCTTCTGAAAGCTGAAAAGCACATGCATATGTCTCGTACCATTAAAGTCCACTACATGCGGATATGTCCATGGGTTTCGTAACTCAATTTACAAAATAGCAATTGTTCCATGCCATATAACGGTCTAACCAAATAGTGCCATAAAGAAAACTCAAACACATGAAGGCAGAAATTTACATTCATGGTAAAATCTCTAATGAAATACCTAACAGTAGGTACCGTGCCTTGGTTTTTGAGGTCTATCGCTCGCATGGTGGATGGTGCTTCATTCTAAGATTAACAACGCTGCCAAATACCTGCGTAACGCCGATAACGGCCCGTTTGCAACAAAACAACCAAGAGGTCATTTCCTTCACAACACGAATACCGTTCAGAAGACTGCCTTTCTTGTTTTAGAAGCCTCGCCAACAGTGAAGTAATTCAGAGGGAAGTTCACTGACGTTATTTCTTGCTGCCATTAATCAAACAAGAGCTTACACTTTTATACCCACGAGGATGACGTCAACAAACTGTTTATCATTGCTTTCATACCGAAATTCGACGGATGCGTCAAGGGTTTGGCGTTTTGTTTTGCCCTCTGCACAAATGAAAAGATGTTGAACAGCAAATTCCTTTCGGCCTCCCAACAGAATTTCGCAAATGTTATTCAACAAGACTTCACATCAATTAGCGACTAGATCCTTAACAACAGATGGAAAGATGAGGCTGGTTATGTGATGAGGAGCGCTGCTTTCTCGGTGTTCGCCACCATCTTCATGTTTATAAAGGCTCCTACATGGATTTCGGCGTCAGCACGGAAAACCCTGATGCACTGCGCATTTGCCTTTGAAGAACTCACGGATTTGTAGATTATGTGCCACAATGCAAACAAGAGATGACGGTAGCAAGATTTTTAAAAATCTGAAAAAGGCACTTTTTTCAAGCTACTAAGTTTGATGTGAATGGAATTTTCTGCGAAATCGGTATGGGACGGAACCTTTTCCAACGCTTCATATGAAATAATATATCTAAATTTATATTGAGAATAGTACCTATGTTAAAAACAGATCCATGCTATTTGCAAACCGTCAGAATGAGGCTCATTTAAAATCTGGCATCTTGTCATGCCTGAAATATCTTGGCACCGTGCTGCACGACAATAAATATCGAGCCACTACTACATACTCTTTTTTGATTGAAACCATTACATGAGAAAATCGACCTAATATATAAGATGAGCATATTTTTGTTCGTAGAAAATGGCGGTTTTTATTGGTTTGTTTGCTTTCAAATTATCTGAATCATCCCCTTCAACCAGACTCTTTACACAATATCAGGAAACCTACAATAATTTTATTTTCATAAGTCAGCTAGTACCATTTAATGCGAATTTGCTTTTTTTCCTACATTGGAGAACCAACTTCGCCGTCCTCGGCCGCAGATGAACCACCGAAAAAGTAAAGACACTTGTGTTTGCACTTATTCTGTTAGCCAATTGCCTGACAGATGTCTATTCAAACATGACTTTTGGGTCACAGAACGTGCAAAACACGTTTTCTACCTATGAACTTCTATCCTGTTCACATGCTAGGGTCTTCGCTTATCCCATCAGTATGGTCGTTCAGCCTTTAAAGCGAATTTTATTGCAGGCTGAAATGAAATGAACACCACTTGCACTGTCCTCTTGTGGGAAGAGCTGTGATTAAGCACAATTTCTTATTCCTCAGAGGAAAGTTAGCAGGCTATTAACATACTACCGCCTAATGGAATCTTTCTATGATTAAATACGGAGCCAACGTCTTATTAACAAAAATGTGCCTAGTTATCTTTGCATATGATTTTGAAACTTGCCGCATTTTAGCCCACCTGTTCAGTTGGTCTTGGCTAGCGTTATTTTAGTTTAAAGGTGTTGCTATTACTCCAGAAATCATGAGCTATCGTACAAAGTCTAATTTAAATCGAGGAGACTGAAAGGTTGGACGCAGTGATAATGATTGCTTAGCACTCAAACAATCAGTGGTTAAAAGAGCAAACTGCGATAACAGTAAAAATGCCACATTTAATTTTGACAGGCACATATAAGTAGATTAACAATTTAAATGTTGATGTCAACGGAGGAAGAGACGATGTCAAATGTCAAAGCTTGCCAAGTTGCAAATTATTGTTGGTCTTCTGGGCGCATATTTGAACTAAAGACCTCCTCATAGGCAGTCTTTTTATTTCCAACAAATTATTGTACAAGCAAAGCAAATCTGCCTCGTTGCCGATGCGCAGAGGCTGAAGTAATGTGCTCCTTCCAGCCAGTTCGGCCGAAGTATATTATAAGACAACAAACAATTACTCTTTACCATGATAATGGGGGTACGTTTTAGATGCGTAAGCGCAAAATAAGTAATCCCGTTGACGTAACTTTACTTGACAGGGGAGAATTGCGTCAGCAATAGTCAAAAAAAGAAACAGATCAAATGGCTGCAGATGTTCTGGGCGTCATGTAAAGCTAGCTTGATTAGTTGGAAAATTGTTGCAAACGGAGTAAAATTTTAGGTATTGAAGCAAGCAGAGAAAGCAAAAATCTAAATGAGGATTGAAATGAGATATAAATAAGAAAGAACGGTCTCGTAGGGAAATATCACCAATGAATTTATGCTGCGAAAATTTAAAAAAAACTATATATTGGGCATTTTTAATTGTGTGGGCTTTATTTATGACCTCATAATATTTTCAAAATATACATAAATTGCGGTTTAACACAGCTGTACAAATTTTAGATATTTAGTTTTTCGTAAAAAATGTAACAGATTGCGACAGACGCAATAGCTCAAAATAGATGGACTATAAAGTTTAGTTTCAGGTGTATGCGCAACTGAAAAAGAAGGCTGATCGAGCACCATAGCAAAAAGTTTATCGTTCTAGACTTGCGCTCAGTCAATCGACTTATCGATCTGGCGTTTGTTTATAACGCAATCCCCTTCAAGCTTACGCTGTCGATCGGTGATTGGCTAGCATGTCCTTAATTTGCTGGTCGTTCCGTTGCTGCAACTACCCATGACAGTGAACTCCCGCACGATTTCAAAAGTTCAGAACAATAAACATATAGCTCTGGCGCTCCATTAATCTTCTTCCTCACTTATGCAATAGATACAATTAAAATATATGAAGTAACAGAAGGCGTTGAAAGACAACCATAAGGTTACTTGCGAGAAAAAGGTAGTAATAAGTTTAAGAGAAAATTGTTTATTCCTACAGAAGATTTGAAAAAAATGGTCGTACGACCAACCTGCCGTCATGTACTCACTGCTTATGTAATAACACTGACATTGCTTTTTCGTATGCATGCGTTAATAGTGAAGAATAACCACTGATATTTTAGGGCCACTTATTGTTAAATGGGAATACTTGAGATGCCAACGTTTCGCCTTTTGGAATGGGATCTTTTGGAGTCAGGAGACTTTCAATTATGGGTATAGGTAGAGGACAAAAAGAAAACATGTCGAATTCAGGGATCATTTCTTTACTTGTATGTGCTTTTGACGTCGTGCAGTAATCCATCATCAGAGATAACAGCAGCAACGGAACAAGTGACGGTTAAAGGTGGTATTAATTGATCATCGAGCGATGCTGCGGATCTGGAGGTGATTCCGCGGGGTTCTGCATGCCAGCGTCAGTAAATGCGTTGATTGACTGGGTTGCTTGCCGAAGCACAGATCTCAATGAATTCTCAGTCTACCTTGCGTCCGGCATGGACACGTATCTTGGCGACGACATTTGAGTGGCGAGCAGCTAGTTGCAATAATTCGCTATCCTGTCACACAATCATCCTATGTTCCGAGCACGCGCTCAGTTTGACCCGCGTAGTTACAGGCATCTCAGACCAGGGCTTTACTGAAGCGTACTCTTTCTTTTGCACAGGCTACGTTACATGCTGGGGAGTGAAAAACCATTCTGGATAACTATTACACCGTGCTCTCATCGAATCGAGCTTATACGGTTCAGTTCGGTTGCTACCGCTGCGGAGAACAAAGTTCTTGGCAAAACGCACAATAAACAGCATTTTCTGGGTGGACGTCGCTCTCATCGGTCTCGTAAGCCTTTTCTGTTTATGTTTATATATTCTAAACATATCCAACCGTAGGCATCGTAATGAATAATATGCGAGCTATGAACAGAAAGTATATTAAACACAAATTTTAACGCCGTCCGTAGCCATTTGGTTCTTCCTTCATTTGATATCCTATATGGATAAATACCATGAGTTTTTTTTGGTGACAATAAACAGATGTCAATAAGATCAGTAACTTTAGTATGCATAAATTTTGGTACTTGCTGAAGTTTGCAGACATGCAGCTAATCCAGAAACGAATATTTTGATATGTCTAAGTTTCTGTCATGTGAGTAACTGTTTACATCTTTGCAAGCTGAACCCACTGACAGTCAGTGCGGCCAAAATCGCAGAAAGGGTTCAGGACAGTCTTGGCAACTAATACTTCAATATTTACATGTCGGCACCTCTGTACATACCGTTATCTTTCTGATCTCCCAATGCCTTGTGGCGTCTTCGGAATTTGGCAAGTAAACGTGATTGTTTTCAGGTGCAGAACTGACTACATGGGTAACCCGTAGCGGAAATGACAACCATAAGTGATCAGAACCCTTCCATTACTGACCTACAGCTGTCAAGGGATGAATGTTTGGAAGTGTTATAACTTATTTATGTAAGGCAATATCTGTGTTTGTAACGATTTTGTTTCCCGCTGGATTGGACACTGTAAAAATGACATTAAGACATTTAGAATCTCACCAGATCCGTGGTAAACTACGAGCGGCGTCCTAGATAATCTCATTTCACTTTGAGAGCAAATTTCACTCATTAATTTCCCCCCCCCCGAGCTCTCCGGCCAATGCCTATGGTTTTGACCAGCTGCTATTGGATGATGACGCCGAACAAAACATGTTGGCACCGGTCCTATTCCAGTTCATATCACCATGCTCTGACCGAAGACCCTGACACAAGACCCGTATTTTGGGATTGGTAGGTAGCTTAATTTCAAACTGACGCAAAACCGCTTAAGCGACCAGGCAGTGGACTGCGAGGAATGGGACGTCATGTAGTCTGTAACTAAATTCTTCGAAATAGAGCTTTCTAATGCGGAAGTTAAGTTCATATAATGGAGCCAACCAGTAATGTTTTGCGAAGTACCTGCTTCAAACAAGGTTCGGAGGGCCTCTTTCAGGCTGCATGAACGATTTTTCTCAGTGAAGCTGATAATGCGTGC